TGCTGGATTTGTCTGGGATGGTTTGGACAGGGCTAATCCTGCTTCAGGCAGGGGGCTGGACTACATGTGACTTCCTGAGGTCCCTTCCAACCCTTATTTCTATGATTCTACGACTCATCGAGGACTAGTCCGGCATCACCAACCCCAAATGCTCAAAAACCTTGTGAGACCTTCACTGTATATTTGGCTTCTTTTCCTTCTGCTTCCTGAGCTTTTCCTTGCCAAAGTCCTATTTAAATGAAAGATGATGGCTTTATTTAAAAAAAAAAAAAAAAATCACATGACTCCAGGACATGCGGCTTAAAACTGAATACCATATTTTTTCATGTACGATGCACCCTGGAATGAGATACCTACCTGGTTTTTGCAAGGCTGAACAAAGACAAAGACATGTTTTCTTGTAGTAAGTAACTGAATAGCAGAAGCCCAGAAGCCGAGCCTGCCCACTGCTTGCTGTGGGTTAGGTGCAGACTTTACTTTTGCTTTCTCCCAGGAAGTGACACAAACCACGGTTACCATATTTTCTCATGTATAACACACACATTCATTTCCAGCAGCTGGGTTTTCGGGGGCAGAAAAACCCTCATACATGATGTATGCAAGGAAATATGATATTGTGGATCACATTGCAAGACCTGGCAACACTAGATCCTCCCCCTTCCTGATACACACCCCTTATCCCATGCACATCCTTTGCGTCGGGGCTTGACAAAGACAAAACAGGGAACCTCACACTGAGTCTCCGTCATGAAAGCATCCCCTGGAAGGTCGAGATGGAGCAGAACGGGTCTCTAAGCATTTCCAGGAGCAAGTTCAGCTCTAGATTAAGAGCTCACCCGCAGCTGGACCTGTATCGGTTACCTTCAATTTGGTAGACAACAGAAGCAAAGGTGTCCCTCCACATCCCACACTCCCTTCTGGAGAGATAATGAGATTGAGGAAAGCCAAATTAGGTAAAATCCTTCCTGGAGAGATAAACCCAGCTTAGCTGTCTTTGATTCACGCTTAGTTTTCACTCCACCTGCTGTCTGCATGGAGATCAAATGGCCTCCCAGTTTGTCAAGCAGATTTAATCAGGAATCTCGAGATAGTTAGGAGTTTTCCTCAGTGCTCTGGGAATTGATACTACCAGGAGTATCCCTGTCTTCATGAATGAGGGGCTTTCTACCTTCCCTGCTGCTGAGCAAGTGTCACCTCCAGGCATAAACCAGGGATCACAAAGAAGATAAGAGCCATCCAACATGAAATACTTCAGCTCTCACCACTAGCCCATGAGCTGAACAGGAGCCAACAGGAGCGTGCTCTTGTTGCAAAGAAAAGCCAACAGCCTCCGGAGTTGTATTAACAGGAGTTACTTGCACATCAAGGGAAGGGGTTCTTCTACTGTATTCAGCCCTGGTGAAGCCGTGTCTGGACCCCGTGCCCCACACTTCAAGAAGGATGTGATCAGTTGAGAAAGAGTCCAGCACAGAGCGATAAAGAAGGCCCAGGAGGCAGGACTGACAAGGAAAGGCTGAAAGAACTAGGGCGCCTGAGTCTGGAGAAGAGAAGACTGAAGGGGGTTGATACCAAGCTTCAAATCCCTGAGAAGAAGATGGAGATGGGCTTTTCTCTGTAGCCGCAGGGGGTAAGACCAGGAGCAATGGCCTTGAGCTGCAGCAGTGGAAACTGAGGCTGGAGTTGAGGAGGAACTTTCTGGCAACGAGGGTGGCCAAGGCTTGGACCAGGCTGCCCTAAGAAGTTGTGGACTCTCCAATCTTAGAAATGTTCAAGAGCAAGTTGGACAGATACTTGGCTGGGATGGTTCAGACAGGGATGATCCTGCCTTGAGCATGGGGCTGGACTACACGTGACCTCATGTGGCCCCTTTCAGTCCTACTTGCCTACGGTCCTATGATTACAGACTTGGGCAGTTTGGTGCCTTGGGCAGCTGTACCAATGGCAGCTGCTAATTTGCCACCCTGCTAAGTCAAGGTCTGGGGATGGTGCCCCCTTAGTTACACCCCGGACTTCCAGGGGTCACCAGCTCTGCACAGGACCCCTGATCCCCAACACTCAATTTCTATTATTATTATTTAGATGTATATCCCACCCTTTTGTGAGGGGCAGCCAACAACCACAGAGAGACAACCCAGAAATTGCAGCTATCCAAGAGAGACGATGCTCTAGTGCATCTTCAACCTTTTGGAGCAGAAAGTCGTTCTCTGCACAAGGTAGGAACTGGCTGCATGGTTCTTCCAGCCAGAAGACTGAAGTTTTCCATCAGTACCACCCCATAGCTTTTGGATAGATTTGTCACCTCCCTAAAGTGTGCCTCACCCATTCCTGACTTGGCAGCTTATAATAAATCCCCACCATTATATTGGTGCTGCATCCTTCACCTTCACTCAGGTGCACTCTGCTCTGCTGTCTTCTTCCTCCTGAACCAGGGAACAAGTGTGTGCACTTCTGACATATAGGGTGACACCACCACCTTTTCTCCTGACCTGAAAGAAAGTGTAGCCCTCAATGAGGGATAAGAAACTGTAGTGCACTCCCACAAGCTAAGCCTGGACTAGAAAACTACATCATACCCCTCATACCCACTGCCATGCCTATCACCCTCCAGTCGATCTTAACCCTCACCCCATCAACCCACACACCGCCACTCTAACCTGCCACAGGCAAAGCAGGGGCACGACAAAACCAGATGCAATCCATCTATTCCTACAGCTGGAGCTATTTGCCTTTAAACACTGCTAGAAATCTCTATATATTGTAATAATAATAATAATAATAATAATAGACACACAGTCATAGAATCGTAGGAAATGAGGGTGGGAAGGGACTTCAGGAGGTCACGTCTAGTCCATTCCCCTGCTCAAAGCAGGACCAGCCACAACTCCATCATCCCAGCCAAGGCTTGGTCTAGCCTAGGACAAAGCTTTGTCTAGTCCTGGCAGACTAAAGAGGTCAAAAGCCAAGTCAGCCCCTCTCTCCCCCTAAAATCATATTGCCTTAGGATCATAGGAAAGCTAGGCTTGAAAGGATCACGAGGCCACCTAGTCCAGGCGCCAGCTCAAGGCAGGATTATCCCTGACTAAACTGTCCTAGGCAGGATCCCACAGCTCTTGAATGCCACTGGCTATAGGAACAGTAGCTGTGACCGTGCTAGCTGGATGGGCGTTGTGAGTGGGCCTGCTATACCTACACTGTGATGAGTTTTATATTAGCTGTTACCGCACAGGAAGGAGATCTGGGAGTCTCTGTGGGCGGTTCACTAAAAACATCGG